GTTTCTGATCAAAATGGGAGCTTATTGGATGAAAGACTACCTTTTGCATATGGTTGCAAGTGTATTATGTTTTATTTACCTTCTCTTTCTGTACAAGCGGTAAAAGATATGGAACACCTCCCACATCTGCAATTCTAGGCTTGCCACATATACCTGTAAAAAAAAAAAAGGGGGGGGGGGGAATGAGCAAATTCATTTTTTTACAGATTTTTATTTTACTAACCCAAAACAATATAAAAGCAATCACAGTTTAGTAAACCGCCCAAAACCAATTATTGTGGTTTGTATTATGAACCTAGGCAATGGCGGCTTGTATAACCAACCATAGCTAAAGCAAACCATCACTTAGCATAGTATCCCTCCAACCTATACAAGATCACAGGGAGGCATGGCCAGCAAATCTGTGGCATAATGGCAAAGGTAGAGCTGCTCTGTGAAATTTGAAGCCCTCCAAAAGTAGGAAAAAAATAGCATTTTTTAAAGGAGCATTCAGCATTTTATGGTCTTTTAGCGACAAAGGGCTTTTAGCCTAGATAATCCAATCTTGGAAAGGCTTAGGGAAATCTACTCCATTCTTTAAAGAAAATCTATTCTGCCAAAAATAATCCCGGCAATTTTGTCCCTGTTCCCCTGGTGGGCCACATGTAAGATATCGCCAATATTTTGTTACAGGTACCACATGTTACCTTTAACAGGAAAACCGAAGGGTTCTTGAGTCATATCAGGACAATCCACCACGGATACCTGGACATCTGCAAAATTTTCTTGAAGTCCATTCTGTAGTACTGGAAGGAAAATAGATCATTTCGAAGAAAATTGAAAAATGGAATATGTTAAAGCTGACCACGCTGAAGTCAGGGTGAAACCCTTCAGTTGAGTATTAACGCTTCCTGGTTTTTTGGTACTGTTTTCTTAGATTGAAGCTAATTGTATATGTATGCTCTAGCCACACTCTAAAACAGGGGTGTCAAACTCAGGATGCTTAAATCCGGGGCTGGCCATGGGGCCAGCCTGGAACTATCAAAAGATTGGGCCGCGGTGCCTCTGGTGGCTAAAACGGGCTGCATGCACCCCGCTGCACCTCGTTTTCACTCTCCATGGCCTCCTGCAGCACTCTGCCAGCCAAAACTGAGCTGAAAACTGGCCCAAACTGGCCCATGTGGCCGTTCCGGCTGGCACAGTGCTGCAGGAGGCCCTTGGAGGTGAAAACAAGGCGCAGGGGGGCTGCACATGGACCCCCCGTGCTCTGTTCTGGCCAGCAGGGTGCTGCAAGAGGCATTGTTCCCACCCCTCCCCCTGGCCCACAGAGAAGAACTAAAATGCTGATCCGGCCGTCAAATAAATCCAGTTTGACACCCCTGCTCTAAAACAAAGGCAAAGCCAAGACAACGAATCAATATTGAATGAATTATTGTCAATTCAAATTAATTGCATGTAAAATAAGGCACTGTGTTTGTAAAACAAATGGATTGGCCACCTGCACATACTTACATAGATAGTCCTCACTTACTGACTGCCTCATTCAGTTATAACAATACTAAAAATAATAATAATTTTACGACCAATGTTCATATTTACAACTCACACCATTCCTCAGGCACGCGATCACCATTCGTCAGAATGTGTCATCCTGTGGCTGATTTTTCACTTTTCCTTCCTCATAAAGCAGAGATTGGAGAGTAAGCACACAATGGGAAATACACATTGAAAGCAATGCACTAGCAACTGCAAGTGTGTTATGCAAATAGCTTGGTACATTTTCCATTGTGGGGCTGCTTATTCTCTTATAATCCCTTCCACTGCAATCTTTCTGCTCTGTAGTGGAGGATGCTGCCCTGCCTCCTCCCGGCCAGACCCAGTGAATGCCTTTTGGGAGATGAGGCTCTGCCGCACTTGCTCCATGCATCCTGTGGCTATGTCCTTGTCAATCATCTGGATCCTGGATCACCAGCAGAAGACAGCTAAGATTAGCTGGGACAGGACACCAGCAGGGGTAGTGATGGCAACGGAGTGCAGGGGGCCAAAAAGGCAGAAATGAGGGGGGCATATAGCAATAGCACGGAGATTTATATACTGCTCCATAGTGCTTTAGGCCCTCTCTGAGCAGTTTACAAATATCAGCGTATTGCCCCCAACAAACTGGTTCCTTATTTTACCGACCTAGGAAGGATGGAAAGCAGAGTAAACCTTGGGGCAGTCAGGATCGAACTTCAGGCTGTGGACAGAGTTAGCCTGCAATACTGCATTCTAACCACTGCTCCACCATGATTATAAGGAGCCTCTGTGGCTCAGTGGTTAGAGTGCAGTACTGCAAGCTACTTCTTGCAGCCACCTGCCTACAATTTGGCAGTTCAACTCCCACCAGGCTCAGGGTTGACTCAGCCTTCCATCCTTCCAAGGTGGGTAAAATGAGGACCCAAATTGTTGGGGGGCAATATGCTGACTCTGTAAACCGCTTTGAGAGGGCTGTAAAGCACTATAAAGCGGTATATAAGTCTAAGTGCTATTGCTATTCCTCCAGTGCTATGGTTGTTAAGTGCAGGCGAGTTGCCAAACGCTCAAATTTTGATTATGTCGCTGCAACAACCATAACTTGGCTGCCCAATGCTATCATTCACTCAGCACCAGTTGCTGAACAAATGGTTAAGCAAAGACTACTTCTAACTATATTTTACTGAAATAGCTACAATGACAGGCTCTCTTTGAAACTATCACCTTTCCGTGGGAATGTTTCTGCCCTTCTATCTATAATAACTTCCAAGTGTTTCCTTCAAGGACATCTCTAATGTTCATAATTTGGGGGAAGAAAGCTTGCCTCACTTTCAAATATATATACACTGCACTATATCAGGCCTGAGAGCCTGCTGTTCTAACTGCTGCTGTTGTAAAGATTCTTTTCTCACAGCTTTTCTAACACAAAAGAACCATGCTTGCTTACCATCAGCCACTTCTTCCAGAGTAGGTATGTGAAAAGCAAATTTTTCCACTCTAGCCATGTTTTATTCCAGGCAGCCAACCAAGCAGGTCGGTTTCTAAGAGATCAAAGTACATCAAGAACAAGTTACAGGTCTGTTAATGAACATACTGGTTTGCAATTCAACCCAAGCTTTTAACAGTACAGATATTCACGGTCATTTCTGAGAGTGTTACATGTTAAAAAAAAGATTAATGGACCTAATTGTGCTCTGCTGTCTTTTTTCAGTCTTTTCTTCCCTGTTAATGTTGGTGCCTACAGCTGCTTTTTTTGATTATTCACAGGGGGGGAAAATCAGATGATTCAACAAGCAATATTGTTGATGAATCAGCACCCACAGTATTTCAACTATTTTGGACAGGAAAAAAATGTTGTTTTAGGCCAGTAATCTAATTGTAAAGGAATAAACCCTGAGTATTTTTCTACAGTTAATGTCCAGTAAGTAAATCAAACATAGAACATGGCTGCAATACTGTTCTTCCTTTAAGGATTCCCAGAAGGTGGATTGTTTGGTTAACCTTTAGCATTTTGCAAACTGTGGTTTATGGTTTAATGCAATGTGTGATCTGTAAACCATAGGTAGCCATTCACACATAGGATGTATCGCTTAGAAACGAAGTTCTCAATTGTTGACCGTTTTACAGACATTAGATTTGAAAAGTTTATTTGCTGGTTGCTTCAAATCAAACTTTAACAACAAAAAAGGAAACTAGGATTTTTTTCTTCACCAGCTGACATTATTTAGAAGTAAACTCCAATTAATTACTGCCTAGAAACAAGATGAAGGATTTGAAATGAATTAAGTTCTATAGAAAAAAAGGTCAAGGGAAATTTCACAAGAAGGAATTAATTGTAATAGCAGGTGAAACCACTAATCATGCAAATTGTTCATTATCAGGCCTACATATTTCCCAAGGTTTTGAGAACAGCTTGTTTACAATATTAACATTTCTCTTAGTATGAATTTATCAATTTATCAATTTATAAACTTATCACATTAAAAAGTATTGATCCTGCTAATGTTTTTAGCAATCACAAAACTTCCTTGCAAAACTCTCTTGCTTCCTAGAAACTATTATTTATAACCAATCCAAATTGCCATCTCAGCGTTTTATAGTTTTGTTAATATTTTTATTAGGAGCGTCTTATACTAAGCCACTGAACACTTCATAAAGCAGAAACTATGAGATGAGTAATAAAAATGCAGTCTTTTCGGAAGTGCTGTTTCAACGGTTATATCTGGGCTTGTTTTAGAGCAGTGATTTTCAAACTTTTTAAGATGTGCGGACTTCAATTCCCAGAAGTCCCCAGTTTTGGAAAATGCTGCTCTAAAACACCCATTTTCTGGATTCACACCCTGGACCCAAAGCACAGTAACTACCATAACCTTGCACAAGTCGCCGACTGCACAAGCCTACAAACAAACCTTTATCTTAGCGTGTGAATCCCACCACCTATTTGCAACAGAGGTTTCTCCAAAGTAAAAAGCAGCCTCAAAGTTGAGCAAATTTGCCTGGAGTCCGATGCAAGCTTTATTACATAGAAACTCCATTAGGGTACTCCCGGGTAAACACACCTTGCACTGAAGTGGTGGATTGCGTTCCGCGTTTTTTGTTTGTTTTGTTTTTCAATTTCCAAATGTGTTAAATCCCATCAGGCACAGCTCACAGCCGAGGATTGAGCTGGGACCACCACTTTACGGAAGGTATTCATTCAGAACGTTAATTACTGCCTTTAAAGTTTAAACTAGTATTTCCTCCCAATGCAAATTGTGCAAAACTCGCCCACCGTTGCATTGGCTCTACTTACACGGAACGCGCGCGCAGGGCGTTATCCTCCACCGGGAGCAACTTCTCAAAGGATTAGACTCACAAGCCACGCCCAGAGCTCCTTCTGACCACTTTCAAAAGGGCGGGAGGCCCGCCCTTTCCCCCCATCCCTCCATTCCTCTCCCCGTTCTGCTGACGTCGATTCTTACGAAGACTCGCGAGACCTGAAGTCAGTATATAAACGGCCCGCCGGGGGCTTTTGCGGCCTTGGCGATACGCGAGATGAGGTGAGTAAGGTGCAATCCATTGCCATCCGTCCTGTTTCTGATCTCGGTTCGGCGCGGCTTGTTAATTAATATATTCTTCAAGCCTCTGTGCCGCCATTTCGATAGAAAAGCTGCATCCGGTGGAGTGCTGTTGCGCTTAAATTCTCCCGTCGTGTTAAGAGACCGTAATATGGTTGGTTGGCTGGATGGTTTTAGGGGGTGGTAGGGGAGCTGAGCTATCATGGCTTTCATCAAACCCGGTGGCTTAGCGCGAGATACGCAAAGCCCTAATTCGGATGTTAAGATGATCCCGATTCATCCCCCCCCCTCCCATTGAATATGCGGGGTGGGGCAGAATCTAGCTTTCGCCCAGGAAAGGGAAAAAATAAGTGATATCTACATTATGAGTCTCGAATCTTGGCCACTTTAAGACTTGTGGACTTCAACTCCCAGAATTCCTCAGCCAGCTAGCTGGCTGAGGAATTATGGGATGAGGAACTCTGGGAGTTGAAGTCCACAAGTCTTAAAAGTGGCCAAGGTTCGAGACTCCTGACCTACAGGGTTTGTATTTGGTAAAATTTATAGAAATTGTCATTTTGAGATGGCCAACTCTTAAAACAGGCCCATTCCGGTTAAAAATTTGCCCTGAACTTGGATTCACCCACGTTGTGGCCTTCAGCCTTGCTTCCAAGATAATCTTGACACGGGTATCCAAACTTGGCAACTAGAAGAACTTCTGGACTTCAACTCCCAGAATTCTCCAGCCTGTGTGGCTGACTGAGGAATTCTGGGAGGGGAAGTCCACAAGCCTTAAAATTGCCAAGGTTGGAAGACTCCTGATCTTGACTTAAGAGAAGGTACTGCAACATTGGGGTGGGTGGGTGGGGGTTTATTTTCCAAAGCACCAGAAGGCAAGACTGAAGAAACAATGGATCAATGGAACAACCCATCAAGGAAAGAGAAGCAACCTGGAATTAAGAAGAAACTTCCCAAAAATGAGGACAATTAACCAGTGGAAAAGAAGTTGCCGTTATTGGAGGTTTTTAAGAAGAGATTGACGTTTGTCTAAAACTATAGGGTCTCCCTGCTTGTGCAGGGGGTTGGACTAGACCTCCAATATCCCTTCCAGCTCTCTTAAGGTTGGCTTTCTCTGTACAACATCTAGAAAGCATAGGTTATGAGACTATTACTATATATTCCCCTTATATTCATCCTAACACAATGCTGTGAGGTAGCTCAGGCTGCAAGGTGGTGAAATAGTGATCCACTTCTAGGAGAATATTCTAGAAACTTGGTGACAGAATTAGAAACTGAACCTGGTTCTCTAGCTGGAAATGTTTTATCCCAGGTGATGTAGCTGTTTTCCTTTTGGTAGAGAAAAGACTAGGTTTATACACCAAATCAAGCCATGGTAGGACTTTTTGGATATAGCATGCTATGTAAACTTGGCAGCATATTCATAAAGATTCATAGCCATCCAGGTAAAGTTGAACTGGAAATTGAGGCATGGCAAATTTGATTTATTTTTTGAAAGGTTTCACTGCTTATCCAAGTAGCTTCTTCTGTCTGAGCAAGTTGGGTTTTTTTGGGGGGGGGGGGGCATCTTCAGGTAGTTCTCAACTACCACAATTGAGGCCAACAATGACCTTTCACAGTTAAGTGAATCACTGCAGTTGATAAGTTAGTAACAAGGTTAAGTGAATCCTGCTTTCCCATTACTTAAAGGTGAACACATGACCTTGGGTCATAAGTATAAATCAGGTGGCAAGCACCTGAATTTTGATTATGTGATCCTGGGGGCTGCTACAAAGGTAAGTGTGAAAAATGGCCATAAGTCACTTTTTTCAGTGCAGTTGTAGCTTTGAACAGTCACTAAATGAACTATTGTAAGTCAAGGACTACCTGTATGTCTCCAGAGTGGTTTTATTTCTTGCCTAATTAGGGTGAATAGGGTTATTGAGGGAGGAAGGGAAGGTTGGATGTTCCTAAGGTTTCAAACCAAAAAAAAAGTACATTTGCCATGACTCAAGTTCCAGAAAACCATTGTTGGTGTTAAACACTTCTTAAGGGAATCAAGTCTTATAACTTACGGATTCTCATATTCAATCTTTGAGAGGTCTCTATAAATTCTGGCACATGCTTTAGATCATAAGTGGGTAGAAATTATTTTGGATTTTTCTTGCATATTGACGAGCTCTGGGGTGGTCTTTTTAAATAAACAAGGAACTGTTGGAATGCAAATATTGAATACTGCCTGTAAAGCTAATCTTAGCTCTTGTTTCTGATGGGTGCTAATTGTTTCTATTAATTATAGTGATTTTGCTGTTAGTTGGTTTTAACTGAAGATTTTGTAGATTAATGGAAACCCCCGTAAGCTTATTAAAAACACTTTCCTAGTATGATTTGATTGCTTATTGTACCCTATGACTTATTATTAAGTGTTGTACCTTATGATTCTTGACAAATGTATCTTTTAAGTATACTGAGAGCATTTGCACCAAGAAAAATTCCTTGTGTGTCCAATCATACTTGGCCGATAAAGAATTCAATTCTATTCTTTGGTAAATCAGATCTGTAGATAAATCTTTGCCTTAAGCAAATCTTTCCCTTGATTTGTTTTGTTTTGTTTCTTGAATTAGTTTGCTTGGGATTTCATGGCTTATAGACTGCTTTTGGTGTATTTCAGCCTTGAATCTGTGAAACTAATTTCTGTTATCTTTTCAAGGTCGAAAACAAATATGGCTAATGAAATGGGAACAGCTGCAGCTATTCCTGATAACCAAGATACAGAAATGTGAGTGCCTTTTATTGAAGTCATGAAATAGTCATATCTTGAATAATACTGCATTTCATTGCATATATTCAGCATTCAGCAAACTCTTTTAATTAGGCATATTGGATAGCTGCCTTTAGTCTGTATATTGGATTGTCTCCTATTAATACGTTCTTTCCAAATATTGGTGCGGGGGGGGGGGGGGGGAAATGGCTTCTCTTCTAGGCTTACGTTGTACATACCATGGCTCTAAGGCCTTTTCATTTGGAGTTAATGCTATTTCTAGCTAATGAGCCCAAAATTTATGATGCCAAGTGAGAAATTTGTAGTTTTGCCCTGTTTTATGACTTCCTTGCCACATTTTTTAAGTGAATCACTGCAGTTGTTGAGTTAATAACACAATTGTTAAGTAAATCTGGTTTCTCCATTGTCTTAGCTTAGATTGACAGACACACACACACAAATTGTCTCCTATTCCTATGTCCTGATTTCTTTATGTGCTCTAAGACAGTCATATTCCGTTAAAGCAGAGATCCCCAAGCTTGGCAACTTTAAGACTTGTGGACTTCAACTCCCAGAATTCTTCAGGCAGCTATGCTGGCTGAGGAATTCTAGGAGTTGAAGTCCACAAGTCTTAAAGTTGCTGAGCTTGGGGACCCCTGCATTAAAGGTAAGGTTCCTCAGTTACATTAACCATGATAGCTGGATTCTCATACCAAGCCATGATAGATCTTTGGCTCCTGTGTAATTTTAACCCGGGAGAGATGGGTGCTACTATGCTTTATGGGTGGAACATCTCCAGGGAGCTATTTTGCATCCATCTCTACTGAAAAGTTATTGACCTGAGTAAAAAATTAATCATCCACGCCCAACATTGGTTTGGAGACTTGCTGGGAATGGAGGAGAGATGAACAAATGTACAGTGCCACTAGAGAGTAATTCTTACCTTTCATGACTTCAGATCTGGCCCAAGTTCATCAAAGCACTCAAGGAAAAAAGCTTCAAATTCAGCAAGAGATGCCGGCCAGTCGTCTTCTGTGGCTATGCAGAGAGGTCCTTCCTCAGCTTGTCTGGAGGCCAAGACTCAGAAGAAGTTACCCAAGCCTAAAATTGATCTTCGAGCCCTCTTCGATTACCATTTCAGACGAAAGCAGCACCGGTTCCGCAAAAGATGGAACCCTAGGGAGACAAAACCAAGCACATCTCGCCGGTCTGCCAGAAAATGGCCGGGAAGACAGAGGATTCCAGAAGATGAGCAAAGGAAAAGAATGAAAGAGAGAGGAATGGTATTTCCCTTCGTGGAGAAATACTACGGCAGGAAGCATCTCCCTTTAAAAATGGTGCGACAATATGAGGTAAATTATAATTTCACACTACTTTTTTCGTGTGTGTGTGTGTGCTCAGTAATGTTTTTGAAGTTGCCATCCAACCATTTGCCGACTTCCAGAAGTCTTAACAGTAGTTAGGGCCAATGTTTCTGAGCAACGTGAGTTGGGAAAGTTGATCCTAGGCTCTGAACTGTTTCATTGAGAACGCTTGCCTGCTTCTTGATTGTCTTGATGGAAGGAGAACTTTCCAGTTCTTTAATAAAGTAGAATATTTGTAGCTCAGGGTTGACAGGAGGGGTCCTTGGGTGCTCTTTGAGCTTGCTTGTTCTCCCTTGTAAGACTGCGATAGGTCAGACAATGGATTGCTGATTGGATTGAGTCTGTCATAAGGCTGACTGAGTGGCTCTTCCCAGCTTTTCAATTCAGTCCTCAGCCAGGACGGACACAATCGATTGCCTCTCCTTTGGTTTTTCAAAGGCAGCTTTTACTTCGTGGAGCTGAAAGAAGAAATTTTTTTCAAAAAACGCGTCTCTGACTCAGCTGTTTGGCAGAGCCATGAAAGAGCTGAGGGGTGCTCCGCCGGAGCAGCCAGCAAAGGCCGCGGGGACGCCTTTCGGGCCTCCACGATGAAGAGAAGGTTGCGTGGATTGGGTGGCCATTTTGGAGCGTGGGCGGCATCGGCCTACATTTTCCAAAGCCGCGGGGCCATTTTTGAGCCTCTGCAGCGAAGGAGGCTGCTGTTTGAGTGGCCACCCAAGGAGCTGCCTCTGCCCATCATGGAGCAGCGAAAGGCCGAGGAGCCTGTCTCCGGGAGCCTTGAGGTCGACGGCAGCCATTTTGTAGGGTGTCGTGGCCTGTGGTGGCCATTTTAATTGGCAGGTGATTCAGCCTGCTTCTCCAGCCACTCCAGTGCCAGGACCAGCGCTCGGCCATCGGCCTCTGGAAGCTGTTGGTCCAGAAGACTACAAAGGGCAGGCGCTAAATTGTTTGTTCAGGTGGGGGACCTGGTCCCTTTCTCCGAGGTAGATCAGGGCTTTCAAGCCGGGCCTGGTCTATAATTAGAAGCCCTATTAGGCCCCAATGGGTGTTAGTCCCAGTAGGAAGTGTTAAAACTCCCTACTGAAGTTGTACAGAGCTGAAAAGAGGAGTGGTTTGGACCTAGAGGATAAGCAGTGAAAATATCCCCTGTTTTTAAAAATTCCCTTTGTGTGCTTCTCGCACCGTCCTGCAATTTCCTAAGGCCTTCTTTTAAGATGGCAGACGCCCCTAGAGGTAACAGGGCCTCCAGAGCAGGAAAATCCCACGGTGCAGCTTCATCTGCTCTGACTTCAAGCAAGGAAAGCAGGCCTTGCCAGCTAAGAAGGCCTCTAGGGCGGAGGAGAAGAATGCTTCCAGGTGGCAGAAGGCCCTAGAGAAGCAAATTGCCAAGGTACAAAAAGCCTCAAGGATCAGATCTCCAGTCACAGAAACCTCTCCTGCTTCTCATCACAGTGCAGTTGATCTACAGGATCAGGAACCTGGACGTTCCTCCAGGGCCATGGCTCAGACTTGGTCATCTGATGCAGTTGAAGGTGATCCCACACAACATCTTACTGCTGGGGGAAGGCTTTATGGAGATCTTCAGGGAGGTTTCAGGACGGTATCTTGGCAGGAGCAAGAGGACAGTAGGCCTAGAGCGGAGGTTACTTTTACGCCTACTGCTGCTGGCCTCAGACCTGCTGTGCCTTCTGAGTCGGAGATCCCTGTTAAAATACAGCTGTTGATAGAGCTATCAGAAAGGGAATCTCTAAAAGCATTGTCCACCACTCTTAAGAGGTATCTGAGGCATCTGTGATTCCATCCTGGGAACAAGTAGCTCTTCTATCAGAAAGGGGTTCCTTGATTCAGGAACTTGTTTCTCCGGTTGCTTCTGCTTATGGTCCATCTGTTTCTGCTGCTCCCTCCTTGGCAAGGGAAACAGAAAAAAATGGAAATCTGACATGTCTGAGGATGAAGGCCTAACCCCTGAGATTCCAGTGTTTGCAGGCCTCTTCAAGCTTACGTTATTCAGTCGTTTACTCTTCAAGGCTAGAAATACAGCCAACCTGAAGGATGCTGATGATGAAGATTCTGCTGTTCAGCCTCCCACGGAAACGGATGGTCTTTTTGGTGAACCTGCCGTGAGGAAGGAGGTGGTACCATCCCCCAGGCTTTTTCTGAAAGTGGTACAGAAACGGCTGGAATCGCCGGCTTCGGGACTCAATCCCTTGTCTTCTGACTACAGATTCTTCAATGTGGGTCCAGAGCTAACCAAGAGCCTCCAAGTGCCCATGGTGGATGCACCTGTAGCAGCTTTGGCTTCTACCTTTACGGCCCCTTCTGATCCGGAAGACTTCTTCAAAGCCGAGGAAGAAAGGATTGAGTAGTCTTTGCAAAGATCTTACCAGGCTGCTTCCTGGGCTGTGAAGGCATCCATAGCAGTGTCGTTCTTCACCAGAACGTCCCTCAAATGGCTGAAGCAGCTACAAGACAGGATCCCGATTGCAGATATCCGTACTCATCAAGATCTTTATAAGATAGTAGCTACAGCAGAGTTCACAGTGGATGCCACTCTAGACGTGGCCAGGTGTGCCACCAAAGCCATAGATTCTTCCGTTGTGGCCAGATGCATGTGTTGGCTGCGAAATTGGCAGGCTGATGGCAGGAGAAAATGGAAGCTAGCATCGACTCCTGTATGAGGTGACAAGCTATTTGGGGAAGCATTAGACCCGTTCCTTGTTGAATCCAAGGGGTAAGAGGAAAGTGCTTCCATCGCTCTACAAGAGGGCAGAGAACGGGCCTGCCCCGTACTTCAAATGCCCCTCCTTCCGGGCGGAATCTGGATCCAGCTTCCATTGGTCTGCCAAGTCCCCCTATCAATGTCCTGAGCCACCATCAGATTGATCAGACAAGGACAGACAGCAGTTCTCGGGCAAGCGGCCATTTCGAGGAGGAGGAAATTGCCCGTACCGTCAGCAACGCTGACTGTTTTCAATCTTTCCCCATTGGCAGACGTTTAGATCGGTTTGCTGACAAATGGGGGGAGATTACATCAGATACCTGGGTTTTAAATACCGTAAGATTGGGCCTTTCGTTAAGAGTTCTACTCCACTTCCCCGAGGTTTTTTTTAATCTCCTGTCCTATTTCAAGGGACAAGGTGAGAAGGGAGCACATGGAACCAGCTATTCAGCGTTTGCTGGAGCTCAGAGCCACCCAAAAGGTCCCTGCAGACCAACAGGGTAAGGGATTTTATTCCAAACTCTTTGTCATCCCCAAGGCCTCGGGGGTGGGAGTAGAGGGCAATTCTTGATTTGAAAAGACTCAACAAATTCATAGTTTACAGGCATTTTAAAATGCATTCCCTCCAGACTATCCTGGAGAGTGTTAGGCAGGGGGACACTCACTTCTGTAGTATGTAAAATTTTGGCACAAAGAGCAGAGATGATTTTGGTGGCCCCTTATTGGCTTTGGCGCCCTTGGTTTGCAGACTTAATGGGTCCCTCAGTAGCTCATCCTTGGCGGATTCCTATGGAAGATATCTCTCTCCTCCAGGGGTCCCTGATTCATCCAGAGCCCCAGTGGCTACAGCTGACAATTTGGCGGTTGAGTGGAGCATGTTAAAATGGGCCCATCTCTCCAACAAAGTAATCGGAACCATTCAGGCCTCCAAGAGACCTACCATCCGCATCTGTGACTCTACCTGGCAAGCCTTTTTTCTTTAGGTGTTCTAAATCAAACATTCAGACTTTAGAGGTTTCTGTAGCACACGTTTGGAATGTTTACAGGTGGGTTTGGATAGAGGCCTTTCTCCCAATACCTTTCATCATCAGGTGGTGGCTATATCATCAGTACTGACTTGTGGCAAGTGGGAGTCCTTAGCATCCCATCCTACAGTCCGTAGGTTCCTCAGAGGGGTGGCCAATCTTCGCCCTCCAGTGGTCCACAGGTACCCTACAGGTGTTGCAGTCCCTGACTAAGGTGCTGTTTGAACCTCTCAAAGTGGCTCGTCTGCATCTCCTTACGCTTAAGGTAGCCTTCTTGGTGGCTATCGCTTTAGCCAGGAGAGTATCTTGAGTTGGTGGCTCTCTCAGTTCGCCCAGACCTGTGTATATTCCACCCTCACTGGGTGGTTTTGAGGTTGGATGCAACATTTATTCCCACCTTGTTCCATAGATCACAAGAATTGGTTCTTCCAGTTTTCTGTCCCAGCCCAGTCCATGACTTGGTAAAATCTTGGCACACCCTAGATGTGCATAGGGCCTTGAAGATATATATCAAAAGGACTTCTGAATTCCACAGAACGGAATCCCTCTTTTCTTCCTTCCAACCGGTCACATTGGGGGGTAAGGTAACTCCATGTACAGTCAGCAGATGGATCAAGTCATGCATCTCCAGGATGTATTTGAGTCGCTCCCTCCCGGTACCCAGGGGCATCATAGCTCATTCCACTCGCAGTGCTGCTACAATAGCAGCCTGGGCAACGCAGGCTTCGATTGAAGAGGTCTGCAAAGCAGGCACTTGGACATCCCTATCTCCTTTCATATGACCCAGCCATCTGGACGCTTTCGCTTCGGTGGATGTTGCATATGGCAGAAGAGTTCTACAGAGAGTTGTCACGGGGCATGGGGACTTGAACCCTCCCGAGGACAATCCAGCTTTGGTACGTCCCATTGTCTGACCTACCGCAGTCTTACAAGAGAGAATAGGCGTTGTCTTACCTGAATGCCACTTCTTGTAGGCAAGATAGGTCAGCCCCACCCTGGGGAGGCCCCGATAACCCGGTCTCGATTTGTGTTTCAGAGGCAGTCCTGTCTGTTATGATGTCTTTGCCAAAAGCTAGGAGGAGCCACCCACAGTGGGCGGAGCTAGGCTAAACAGCCTTTTGACAGACTCTGTCCAATCAGCTAGGACTGTGATGGTGAATCTATGGCACACGTGCCACAGGTGGCATGCAGAGCCATTTGTGTAGGCATGCAAGCCCCAGCCAAACCTACCTGCACTGTGCATG